ATGTTCTTGTGGATCAAGGCAGTCAGAATGGAACAGTTGTAAATGGAAATCAAATCCTCCAGGTGAGTACCTATTGTTTTAAGACTCTGTACACTGCAGAAAACTGTTGTGTTGTCATTTTAAATGTTTTATGGCAAATGACTAATAATGCCATTGTATGGCTTCTTTCATACATTAATGTCTGCCTTGGTTCCTTTCTGGTTTTAGGGCCACTTACAGTACATAGTGTTTGGTTATACTAAGAAAAATCTACTATGTTTGCAGTTGCTAGGGTGAAATACCTATTTAAATACTTGCCTACATTTGTGAGACCAAACTGAATTACTGAACTGTAAGCAGCATGCATGAAATTAAATTTGTGTCCTTCGTGAGTAACTAACATGGCTGCCAAAACTTTCTTTTGCTGTAGCCTAAAACTAAATGTGATCCCTACGTCTTGGAGCATGGAGACGAAGTGAAGATTGGTGAAACTGTGCTTTCTTTTCATATACATCCTGGCAGTGATACTTGTGATGGATGTGAACCAGGACAAGTCAGAGCACATCTTCGCCTGGACAGGAAAAAGGAATCCTCTGGTTAGTCAGGTTATCACAGGAGATGTTTATTATTATGGCTTTATTAGTATAGTTGTTTATAATATAAACATAGGAATTACTTTAGTTTTCTTACAGTTTTCTTGTCAACTGGGAACAGTTATACATGATGTATTTTCTTCTTGGTATATGTGTCTATAATAATGTTAGAACAAAAATTCTCACACTTTCCATGTTTCAAAACATTGTTACATTAGTAATTAGAAATTCAATCCTGTGTTCTTCCTTTTAGTTTGCCCAGCACTTAGCAAAGAAGAGAGAGAGTTAGTCAGAAGAAAAGCATTAAAACAAATACGGGTAAAATATGGTTTACAGGTGAGTTTACAGTAGGAACATCATTCAGTTTTGTAATCTTCTGGTTCCTATTTTTTTAATGCCTTGTGATTCCTATTTAAAGCCTTAAGAATAAGGGAAGTTTTCAAATGCACTCAAACTTGAGCCTGGTAGTTTAACTCAGGCTGGTCTTTTGTACCCTAAATAATAATTCTTAATAAACCTGTACTGAGAGAGATGATTTTAAGGGGGCATGAAAGTCCTGTTTAAAGTTTAGGAAAAGATCTTTCCAATGGGTACAAGATTCCTAATCCTTTTGAGGTTAGGATTTTGCAAGGCATTTCTATTTTTATTTCTGCAGATTTAAGTTTTCACTGAATTGCAGTGCTATCTTTTATTTGGAAAGGAAAAATAATGATAAACTGAAAAAAATGGTGGAAGGAATTTTTTCAAGTTTTTTTAAGTCCATAGAAGAATGCCAACATGAACATACAGACAATATAGTATATATGTATTTAAGTTACTCCTGGTTTAGGTATAACTTTAACTATGGGATTACATCCAGCATTTGTAGTAATGTATTCATGTACAAAACATAATGCCATCGTATTTCAAATTCTTCAGCTACCAAAAGAATATTTATAGAGAATCTGTAGACATGCTTAGTTCTGTCATCTATTCTGAAAAAAAATAGTTGCTGAGGAACAGTCTAAATGTTTATACAAAAGGCCAGTGCTATGATCACTTGGTTTTCTGCTTAATATGAAGAGATTGATTCAAGAAAAGATTCAAGAGAACCTGTTATTTCATTTACAGCTTCTCTGAAATTATTGAAATTGGCAGTATTATGTCATTATGTGATGATGGCAATAATATCCTTTACAAGGTATGGCTGTAAGCTAAGTGAGGACTATAGTTTTTTGTTATAAGCTTTAGAATTAATGAAGTAGGCTGAAGCTGCCTTACTTTGAAGGGAAGAAGTGGAGTTATCAAAGAATTCATTGTCTTGATGGAATTTAATCTGCTTGTAAAGAACACAGAGTATGAAGACAACAAAGCAGTGAAGAATCCAAAGTACAAAGACAGAGCAGGAAAACGCAGAGAGACTGTTGGAAGTGAAGGAACCTTCCAGAGAGACGACAGTTCAGCTTCTGTTCATATGTAAGCTGGAGAGGCCAGGGGAGGTATCCTCCATGGCCTTTTCTTTTGAATCTTAAAAAAAAAAAAAAAGATAAATTACCAATTTGTTACTAGCGTACAGTTTTTTAGATTACAAATTACATGTATATAAAGTTTTAGGAGAGCTAGAAAATTGTAAGCTTTCATACATCCCATTTCACATAGTCTTTTTCTTAACTCATCACTTTCCATACAGAATTCAACTTGGCAGTAAGGATGCTTAGATCACTTCCTTGCCAACTCAAAAAATCAAAGTCTTATCCAGCTGCACTACTGACATCTTCCGTAGTGTCTGTTTGTCTAGAGGCTCAATTCTTATTTTTCCTATTCAGTCCCAGTAATAGTACACATGCAGATTTTTCACCTGCAATTTCTTTCACTGTCAATGTCCAACTTGTCATAGAACGTGTATTTACATACATCTTAACTGATACTTCATATAATGTTCCTCTTCAATTATTCCTTTGCTTCTGTAGTTGTAGTTGTGGTGGTTTTCTTAAGAAACATGAACTTCTAAGTGCTGGTAAAAGGAAGTGTGAGACAGTGAAATAAATGCATTAGAACGCACAGATACTGCCTTTTCCCTAGTGCAGTCCATTCCCACCTACCCATGATGTAGCTTTTAGCTCCTAAAGCAAGCAAATAGTTCAGAAGCAGTTTTAAGAAAGTTGATAGTCACCAGATGCTTGTAATGGCTTTGTTAACTAAACATACTCATGGAGGAACTTGTAAAAGATAGCATTGGGGGTCTTCTGGATATCTCTTGATGGAAGAAGGAGCAGCACAGTAATTGATTCCTGGTTTCCAGAGCAGCAGCATATGCTCGCCCATTTCTGTTGTTCAGTATTTGAGAGCATACTCTTTATATGAACTCTGCTTATCAGTTATCTCAAACTTTCTTCAAAGTGAAATCAGCAACAGCAACAAAGGACATAAAATGTTGGAGAAGATGGGATGGAAGAAGGGGGAAGGCCTAGGAAAGGATGGTGGTGGTATGAAGAATCCGGTAGGTTTTTCTGGTTTTCACTTGAAATAAAAATAATAATGTATTTGCAGTGAAAAATATCTAATTGTATGCCACTATTCACTTCAAACATTTCAAACTCCTGGTTAGGAAGAAATAGTCTCAGTCAGACTAATCTCAAATAAATTTTTTCTTGACTAATGAGGTATTTTGAAATTTTTTAATAGCATCGTCCCTTCAGTGAGGATGCCCGAACTGTCTGTGTTTATTAGGAAACTATGCAAAAGACGGCAGACAGCTTCTACCCATGGAATTAATAACCTCATAGTTGAATACAGTAGCCTGGAGGAAAATCGAAATCATTTAAGTGATTGAATTCCAGATGAGCTTAGGGTAGAATTCTTCACTTTCTCTGAGATTCCTCTTTCTCTGAAATTGCTGTAGCACAAAAATCAGATGATGGGCCAGAAGAGAGGAAAAGCTAGCTGACGTCACTGTAGCCACCAAGTTGTAGGCCTCTGTGGTGGGCATGTTAACCCCATTTTGGCACCACATGTGTTGTCTTTTGGTGCTGCTCAGAGCCACACCATGCCCTGTACTGTCAAATTAGCCAGCACAGGAATCATATGCTGCTCACGCGGGTGTATTTCACAGTAATGTTAGGAGCAGGTGACATCTATCAGCACTCTAGATCGTGGTTTTAGAGGTGGTGATTTGACATATCATTTCCGTGGTACTGTTCCTGTATGATCCAGGTGTATTAGAACCTGAAAGAGAAGTGCTTGGGAGTGGGGGTGGAATTTGTATTAGAAAAACATGATTTGGAGTACCTAACTTGCAGTTACAACATTTAATATATTTGACAGATCCAACTTGAGTTACATCAGAAGCACGCAGGTTTGGGTACTAGGAGACCAGTCTCAATTGAAGATGTTCAACTCATCCAGAGCAAGAATAAAAAGAACTGGGACAAAGCAAGAGAGAGGTTTGCTGAAAACTTCCAAGACCGGAAATCACAAGGGGATACACCTAAGAATACATCTTGGGTTAGAGGGACTGTAGAGTAAAGTATTTAGTCCCTCAGCAAGGTAATTCCTGAGTGTAAATAGTTGGGAGAGAATTTATTTTTATTCTTTTTGCTTTTGCTAAAGCAGGAATTTGGTTATATGTAAAATACAGTTGTGGAAAAATTTATTCAAGATTAACTGTTATGTAAATTGGTTTTCTGTAGTCTTCATGCTTTTATAAAAACACATTTTTAATAAGGAGTTTAGTGGGATATTCAAATTTAAGTACTTGAAAGTGATTCTCATCACAAGCAGGAATCCTCCATCATGTTTTTAAACACAGAAATTTACACAAAACATCTGTTAAATTTAAATATGATACTTTTAACATTTGAACAGTGGTTTAAAAGCAAGCTGAAACAAATGAAAAAAATCCCCCAGGCCCATACAAACAAAGTCTCATATTGCCGTTTCTTCATGACTGTCATGAAATGCTCAGGAAGAGGTACACCAGTCCTAAATTCATACAGTTCAGTACTAGTTACATGTCTCAGCTTATCTTAAGCTGAGGAAAATGGGGGAAAAGCTTGGTTTTAAATGACTCAGTTCAAAAATATTGTACTTAATGAAATAAACTACCAGCACTAGTGAAGAAGACAATGTTCAGAGACAGCTTGTAGCAGAATTTTCTTCCGTGAAGAACTTGACGTTTGTTTAGTAAATCTGTATCATGCCTTTAAACTACGAGGTATGTTTAGAGAACTGCTGTCTGTATTTATTAACTTCTTTTTCTGATACATCCATTGCTGGCAATGGAGTTTATGCCAGAAGAAAACCCAATACAACGGATTTTTGGTGGGGAAGGATTGCCAAACTGAAGCCAAAAGACTGGTATTTATTGAATGTTCCTGAACACAATAAACCAGTGTGAATTTAAGCAGTGTGCTTCTTGATAGTTTCTTGTGCATATATTGGACAGGAGTGCTCTTCTAACGTGAGTAAAACTTAATCCTACTTTGGTGAAAAGTTCCAATACTTGTTCAAATAAAGGAAACTTGGTAGTCCCACCATCCTATTGGATCACGCAAGCACTGTGAAGTAAACCCAGGACAAACTACCAGCCATTTATCTTTAATCTAGGCACAAACAATATAAAGCAAAAGGTCCAATCTGTTATTTAAATCATGAAAGCACACAAGTTTACAACCCGAACTTCTGCACTACAAAGCTGAAAATACAGTTACCCACACTCAATGCCTGCAGCAGTATTGATTAATTAATATTAGATCACTACTTACATTTGTAAGCAGTTACTTTTCTACGGATTTAGTGATAGTATTACTGCTATTGCAATAATATAAAAATATTGCTCTGTTAGGTACTTTGCTGTTGTATTCCTTCTTACTGACGTCACATTTTCAGAGGCTGCCTTTTTCTGTGAAAAAATGTTGTTCTGTATGTTTTGTTCTATACTTGTTGAGTTTTAGTTCACCATGTATCTAAATAGGCACTCCTGTAGTACGAGGAAGAAATATCCTGTATGCTAAAAGAAAAGGTTTTTCCTTTTTTTTTTTCAATGTGACCTCTGTAGTCTTCAGAGCCAATTAAACTATAAATCTTCATTTGAAGTGAATAGGAACCTTAACCTTCTCCAGTTATTCAAGTGTAACAGCTCTAAGAAAAGTGAATCAATGAGTTTGCATTTCATAAAGTTTTTGAAGTAAGACATCATTTGCCTTCTGTGAGAGGCATAGTCTCATGCAGTCAAGGGCTGACTGCTTTCAGTTCTGCAGCTTCCTCTGTCAGCAGTTCCATATAAAGGGCTGAAGTGTAGTCTTGGTTCAGTGTTGCTACGATAAATCCCTTTCTCTCCTGCTGCTGCCTAGGAAAGCAAAAAAGCAATGCCGTTAATACACAGATGGTTACAAAACAACTGAAAATTTTACTAACCCTCATCAAGCACTTGTGTGTCTTTACTGAGTAGGAAAACATGTGCTGAGCTACACAGGGCTTTTCATCCCTTACCTTAGTGACCCCTTAGAAAGTTTAAAGTACAAATGAGTGAGGTGAAAACCACCCGTGTTGTGGAAGCCTTATGTGCAAATGCAGTACTGCTTTCCCTCATGTCAGGAGGGGAACATGAGTTGCCATTGCACTATTATAATTTTGGAGGCTATAACCAGTAAAATACAGCATGAAGTTTAGCTGTCCTACCTTCTCAGTCCTCCAGCCATCCTGTTGTTAGAAAAAACAGGATATGATACCTAGAGTTGCTTTTTTTGATACATCCAAAGTCAAAAGTTTTAGCAGCTTGCTTTATATATAAATATTGCTAATGAATATAATCTTAAAGTTCTTAAGTTTATATAAACAGTTTCCTGTAGTCCTAGCAGTGAATTTTACTAACTTACCAAATATATTTTTCTGAAATTTAAAATAAACTAAGAAGAGTAGGTACATTCTTATCTTAAGTGCTGAACAATCCAGCTGGCACATAAAAACAGGAAGCGCAGTCATTGCTGTATGACAGTCATTGGACTAAACATATGCTAGTGGGGGCTCTGAACTGTATACAAGTGAACTACGTCTACAAAACATACCGTGCATGAAACCGGAGTTTGTCTGAGCAAGAACAGGCCCTTTGCTGCTGTAGCTGGTTGTAACAAGGGTACTCGACTGGGGCTTTCTGCCAGCTAGTAACAAATCCACAGCAGCAGGAAGAGATGACAAAAACAAAACGCTGTTACAAACAGGAGGATCTGAAAGATGGCGTACCTAAGCACTTTCTTCTTTGTACTTCTAAGTCCCTGACCACTGAATGTGGGGTTTTCTTCTCATCAGGTTTCTGCGTTATAAACGAGTTTAATCCAGCAGTGTCTCTCTGTTGATGCACATACCTGCGTGCGGGTTTCTGTGGCAGTGATGCTGGTACAGTCCTTCAGCGCATCAGGGCACCATCCCCTCCCCCCGCCCGCGTTCAAGTGTCTCGGTGTCCTTTCAGGGCTGCAAACAGGGCGCACGCTGCCTCTTCTGCTGCTCCTCGAGCTCCGTGGTAAATAAAGCAGGGGAGATAGGCAGGTTGCGGTCCGGCAGCGCAGCCCACCGCTCGGCCTGGTCCCACCGCTCGGCCTGGTCCCACCGACGCCATCTTGTCTCGTCAGAGAGCGCGGGGCCGATGAGGGAGGAGCGGGAGCCGCCCACGCCGGCACCGCCTCCCCCGGCAGCCCGGCCGTGCCCGCTGCTCGGGGGCCGCGGAAAAGGCACCGAGCGGCCGTGTGGCCCGGAGAAGGCCGCGGATGGAGTTACGCAGCAGCTCAGGAGGAGCGGAAGAAGTAGGCAGTCCATCAGTGACCAGAGGCCTAGCAGACACAGAAGAAAACGAGAGCTATAGATACTAGATTAAAAATACACCTACATGACTTTTTAACGTTTAGGATCACAAATGATCCTAAGAATGAACGAGTGGAGTCTTGGGTGTGACGCTGAGAAAGGCATGCCAGGCGGAGCTGGCGCAGCAGTAGCCTCAGAGCTCCTCATCCCACGAAGAGCTGACTCCTGCTAATCTGCTGGAAATGCCTTACAGCCCCTACTCCTCAATCTCCCCCTACTCTTCCTTCCTCTGCACTCCCTTTTCTATCCAAGGACAACGGTGGACTGACCTTGTCTTAGCAGTCTTCAGTCAAGCCTGGTTGATAGTGAAGATGCTGTGGTTTGGCCAGCCCTCAACTTCTGGACTTTGTGAGGCTAAAAAGTGCACAGGCTGTCAACCTAGATTTTGTAGCACCTTGGGTCTTGCACTAACACCTGTAGATCATCAGTATTTTCCCTTGCAGTTCTTCACCTTATTTGTCCTTTTTTGTTTCCCCTGGCTAGAAGTTCTTCTTTTAGATCATCAGATTTTTCTTTTACCCACTTTATACGCATCAAAAAGCAAGCAAGCTGCTAGTTAAGTAAAACTGGTATGTAGCTGAGTTACCACACTGCTCACTGGTTGATGGTTTTTTATTTGTTTGTCTGTTTTAATCAGTCTTTTTATCCTTTTTATTCAGGCCGTACCACCAGTAGGCAAGAATAGTCAAAAGTGCCCAGTGATGTTGAATAAGGCTTATTGTGAATCAAAATTAGAGAATTTCAGTTCTGTAACTTCCTTGGCATATCCCTAATATTTCTGTTTGATTCTTTAGCTCCAAAATGGAAGTAATAATATTTGTGTTCTCTTCCTGTTTAGAAATATTCAAAAAGCAACCATGTCTGTCTGGCCCTGCTTGAGCAGGGTATTGGACAAGATGAGGTCAGGAGGTTCTTTACAACCTCAACTGCTCTGCAACCACAGAAGGTGCGGTGAAGAACTGATTGGCATTTGGATGTTACAGGGATGGAGGCCATAGACATATCTAGGCATGCAGAAAGACATCTTGAACTCACAATAGCAAGAAAACCAACAAAAAACCCAAGAAGAGTGGGCAGTTTAAGACTTACCAGCAAGGAAAAATCCACTCTACCCTCCACCAGCTATCCTTGAGGCTGGGAATCATGACCCAAGAGAAATTAAGTTGCATGAATAACTGCAAGCAAGTGATGAGTCTGAGTGGTAAATAATAAACAGGAGTTTTGGAAACCTGAAGTGGTGGCAGTCTTGCAAGTCCAGCATTTCTCTATGGAGCATAACAAAGAAACAATAGGTTAAAAAGAAAAGTGGTACAATCAGTGAGTGACACAGCAGTGGACCATTTTGGCTTTTTGAAATATTGTCACGTGATTTTTAAAGAGGTATCCTCTGCTGTGCAAAGTCCTGATGTCCACAGACTCTTGCTCAGAGGCAGGTCTGCGTGCGACATAGACAGTTCCTTAGTGTGTTTAAGGCACACTGATCCTCCACAAAGACAGTGGTCCGAAAAACTCTACTGAGGCATATCTGAGGTATGTTTTCCAACCTTTTAGAGCTTGTTTAAAGGACTTGATGAGAAGGAGACTACAATTGGAATGTTCTTGAAAATAATGGGGTTTTTTTATTTTTTCATTTTACCATATAAATGCTTCATTTGAGACTTGTGTCTTTATACAGTAATGACTCGATGGGGAAGTCCTCACAGTACAAGGCAAGCCGGCGGGGAAGACAACCAGCTTGGTTAAACAGGGAGATTCTGAAGGAAATCAGGGATAAAAAGAGAGTTTACCAGCTATGGAAGAAAGGATTGACTACTTATGAAGAATTCAGGAAGACAGCAAGATTATGCAGACAGAAAATCAGGGATGCAAAAGCACAATTTGAAGTTAAATTGGCCACTTCTGTTAAGGATAACAAAAAGCACTTCTATAAATACATTAA